CCCAGATTTCTTCCAACCCTCTGGCAACAAGGTACGAATTAGGTCGATCGGTATCCCACATACATCGGGCACAATGCTAAGGATGTCTTTACGCAGAATGATTGCCATCTTCGACGAAGACGGTGGCGGCGACGTTGATTTCCAGGAGTTCGTATCAGGTCTTAGCGCCTTTTCTTCCAAGGGAAACAAGGAGCAGAAGCTGCGTTTCGCCTTCAAGGTTTACGATATCGACCGCGATGGTTACATCAGCAACGGCGAGCTGTTCATTGTGCTCAAGATGATGGTCGGAAGCAACTTGAAGGACCAGCAGCTGCAGCAAATCGTGGACAAGACCATCATGGAGGCGGATCTCGACAAGGATGGCAAGATCAGCTTCGAGGAGTTCACGAAGATGGTGGAGAACACGGATGTCAGCATGAGCATGACGTTGGGTGAGTTTTGATATTCTGACGTTCAATGCGCTTGACAAAGGCTGACAATACGTTCCAGACACATTCTAGAGAACGGCATCTTGATGGCAAGCGGGATAGGATCATGAGACATGAATTGCAACACTCTTCTGGGTAGAGATACACCAAACCTCCTTTGGGCGGCACAGCAACCGTCGCTCGGTCTGAATTGAAATATGTCTTGGCTTCTGGGCTGCGCATTCTTCCCCATGGTGACTTTAGGCCGCTTCAATCGCACAAGAAATGTAAGTTACGTGCAGCAAATGACGTGTTCAACTTTGGCTATGGCTAGTGAGAATTGGTGCTGGGCAAGGCCAAGCGGGCAAGAAAAGGGAAAGTAGTCAACGGTTGGTGGACGACACTAAGGGTCTGGTGTAGCTAGCTCCAATTTAGACGCTTCTTTGCCAACCTTTGCAGCTGGACGACAGAACCTAGCGGTTCCGGTTGTGGAAAACTGCCTCCGTGATGTGCTCTCGAAATCACCCTTCAAGCACGCACTGCAACAGCCCATTCCCTGTTTCTGGTTGGGCATCAGAGCGCTGTGGCCGGCCCCTAATCGCATCAAGCCGAGAAAGCGATATGCAACGCTGATAGCAGTCCCGGCAGCCGTGACCCGTGCTCTGACGCCAGCAAATCTAGGGGAAACGAGTGTAGGATCTGCTGTGGTTGCCGTCAAATCCTGCGAATCGAAATATAGGTTGTTCCATGCCTTTGGGAGGAAAGTTTCGCTGCGTCAGTTCGTCTGAATGTTCCATCTCAACTTGTTCTTTTCGCCATCTAGAACTATGAGACCGACGTAAATATCCCGTAGCAAGTGTCCAAGCGAGCATATGGATGTCAGATAACAGCGTCCTCCAAAATCGTCCCATGAAACCAGCCGTTTTCCCTATTGACTTAGGTCATGTCCTTAAATCGAATGCTGTCCAATTTGCTCATCTTGCGTTGAGGCTCATGCATGAGATCTCAAATTGACATCTATTTCTACGCCTCCTGCACCTATGAGCGGGGGTACCCGGGGGGTGCGTCGTCCGGGAGCTCAGTTGTCTTGTGTCGCTGTGCACGGCTTGTAACTAGAGCTTCATCAATTGGTTTTAAAGATCTTGCTGCTTCCTCTCCTCTATCGCCGCCTATTGTGAAGCCCGATGATTCTGCAGGATGTTTTTGCTTGGATTGAGGACCGATATATAATAGAGTAAGCTCTCATTGAAAGCACTAGAAAGAATTATCCGGCGATGCTTGATGATAGCTGGTAGGACCCTGTGGTTTGGAGTTTCAAAGCCTCCGGGCATCCGAGCCCACAAACTTCATAATAGTTTTCTTCTTTCCATGAACCTATATCAATTATCTTCCTCTCAGCTGTGACGTGTGAACCCACTTTCGTTCCTAGTTGCCAGTGAGTTTTGTATGAAAGATAGGTATGAATGTTCCGGAGCATGGGAACACGCCACCATCTTATTCTGCAGTACTCCCATGCGGTCTTTTTCATAATACTTCGGGTAGCAGACCTGAGAATTCAAAGTTTCGAAATGCAAACTTAATCCGACCAAGTGCATTAAGGCCCCTGTAAGGAGTGAAATTCGAGGAGGGGATCGTCACGAGCGAATCCGAGACGATTAACTCCTGTGAATGGCTTCTGTGATTATAAAGAAAAACCACATAAACTTATATCCGTCGAATCCGGTATGTAGAGTTAGCTTGAGACAGCGAAGTCTGAAATCTGGCACTGGTGATCGCTGCACTCTTCCCAAGAGCGTTGTCACGGCTCAGGGTGAATGGTGAAAATCAATTATAATTGAGTAATCCTTCTCATGAGCTCTTGTAGTTCCGTAGTCAGATTGAAACTTTCACTCTACAGTATCACGGGTTATCTACGTTGAGAATACGCCAAGTGAAGTGCAAACACAAAGTGGCAATGAAGGAAATCTGTCGCAATGCTATAATCGACTTGATTTTCTAGAAGCTCTGCTATTCTCCCTACTCTCGAGCCACTCGTTTCTGTAGTCGTTATTAACACTGCAGTCGTCTCCTCTTCAGACACGACACCAACATCATCACAGAGACATGGCCATTTGAGGTGTGCACGAGAAAGATACACAATATTTACCGAGATCAAGTAAGCAAAAACGAAAAGACAAAAGCCGAATGGATCCGGGTCATCAGCACTTGTTCTTCAGTCTAAGTTCTGATTGCCTTCGTGGACTGTAGGCTGAATATTATTATCATTCCTTTTTCCCTTTTTCCTGTATCCAAACATCGATGTTCTGAACTGAAGAGCGAGAGCCTTATCGTTAGGCCACAGCATACTTGTTGAAATGGCATGCTATGAACACACTCAAACCTCCCCACTCATGGTGTCCTTGTTGCCATGTGGGCTTGAAGATTAGATTTGAGCTAGCACAGGTGAACCCTAAGGTAGACGAAGATAGTGGAGAAATGAGCGTCCATAGTTTATAGACATGTCCTGCTGTATCCGTTTCTGGACGTTCTTGGACGAATGCGAGACAACAGACAGTCGCTGGTTTCCGGTCGTCGAAGATTTTGTGAGAGTACACAGCGAATTTGCTGACATCGAATGTAAGATGTCTGATGGCACGTACTACAATCCTGACACGGATCAAATGGCCCTGAAAGCACTTGCCGGATTAGGCTTTCCCAACAGCTTGGTTGTATGAGCCATTCAGTCGGTAAGCGTGAACTCCCTTGAACCTGGCTGGCTGGCTAGGTGTCGGCCTCAAGGTGCGTACCACGAGCAGAGACCAATTGTCCCACGTCAAGGTCTCTGTACTTGGCCATTAAGAACGCGTGGGATGTCAGGACTCGGATTTAAAGTGGACAGGGACAGGCTGATTACAGAGGTAACAACGTGGGTGTCACGGGTGGCCGAGAAGGATTTCCCTGTCTCGCACAAGCCAATGACGGGACCGCTAAGTCACTCCAAACAACTGCGGCCCCTCGAATGAAGGCTAGCAGGATGTCTCGGGCGTTGGCGTCAACTACTGCTTCTCGTGATGTGCTGACCATTATTGGGCTTGGGTTGATTCCCTTAAACTAAGCATGTTAGGAAGCTTGTGCATGACCTTACGTGGCTAGCAAAAGAACATTAGATGGGGGGGTGTTAAGAGTCCCAACCCAGGGCAGACCGGGCCGAGCGGAGCCGTTGACTTCCGGGACCCACTCCGGGATTACCGGGTCATCAACCTTCTTTTTCCGGGAGGCGCGGAGAAGCCACATGCGAAGGCCCGGATCCAGAAACGGAACACGCAAAAAGTCATGTACGGGTACAAACATCACCAAGCCCCGTCCGCTCCACAGTGGCTCTCTGCTGGGCATGGATCATCAGATCATGTCTGTTCACACGCAACAGGGAATCCTCTTTTGCTCCCACCCCTCGCATATCGATGCCCTTGTCCCCAGACTGAGGGCGGGTGTGTGGTGGAGAACACCACCAGTAACTCAGCTGCGCCGGGAAAAAAAAGTGACAGGTCATTTTCCTCAACTATGCAACCAACACAAAAATGACCAAAGAGAGACGTGCAGGAGTCCCTGTCCCAACACAAGCCTCCCAACCATGGCACTGGGAAATTTTAGGGGCGGGACACAGCAAAAGACGAAGAAAAAAAAAGAGGGAACGGAAGCTACGCTGCTTAACTGGAAGGGGCATAGCAACGCCGCCCTACAACAAGCATACGGCCTGATACGTAGCTGCGAACCCGCCTCGGCCAGAGACAGGATGATCGATACTGCGTCGAACGGCCTGCCTGTTCCGAAGAAGATCTGCGTCTCCCGCTGCTTGGATCCCGCGCGCCCTTTCCAGAGTGCTGGGCGAGACTTTGTCTTCACACCAAGTAGGGATAACGTGGCCGGGACTTGGACAGGGCGGAATGGGCCTTTGATTGATTTTTGAGGCGAGCGGCGGCACGGCGCGGCCATCCAAAAAGTGGAGTTTCATCCATATCTTGATCTGGTGATCGACTCGTTTGGACGTGTGCATGTTGCGCGCCAACTCGACCCTTGAACAATTTCGCATCTCCGCCCGACAGTGGTAATGTGATGCAGCGCCCCTCGCAGTTCCGCCTCGAGAGAGAGTAGGTGTGTTGTGTTTCTCTCTCGGCCGGCAGCCCTGTTTGCAAGATAACCAGGGTAGCTCAGCCGTGTTTCAATATCTCCCTCGCTTTAGCAGCACAGAGAGCAAGGCCTCCCAGAGCAAAAGCCCCCGGTGATCTGCACTCTGGACTCTTCCCACTCAGATCATGCGCGGACCAAGACAATGCCATACTACATGCCCTACTCCGTACACCTACCAACGCTGCTCCACCCGCCTTGCTCCCCAGCCTCACCTTGCGCATTCATATTTCTTATTCTCTAGCCGGGTTTGATTCTTTCTAGGGATGGCAAATTGTTATCAAAAAATAGCAGGCCGGGCTGTTGCCGGTCTCTGTGTCACATTTCATTCATCCACATCCTCCATTGTTCACCTGATATCGCAGCATGTAGCAACTCAGAGCGATGGGGCATCGTCTGTAGCACCCCACCATTCAGCCCTGCTTCCGTTTAATCATCCTTCTTATTGCCCACCTTCCCTGTCTTGTGCAGCCCGACGTGGCCAAGGGCGAAGCAGAGCACCATGAAACCAGTCATTGCCCAGAAGCTGGCTCGGTAGCCAAGGAGGAGAGCATCGATTGGCGTCTCCCGCGCCGCCGCCTGATTGGTCACCACGCCCGCCACGACCTGCATGATGGCAAGGCCGAGGGAGGTCCCGAACTGGGATGCTGCATTGAACACTGCTCCTGCAAGTGCCTGCGTATCTTCCGGGAACGCCTCGGACACAATAATGAGGCCGACGGTGAAGAGAATGTCGCCGCTGATCGGCTGCAGGAGCTGGGCGAAGAAGGCGCTGTACCAGTATGGCCACTCCGGCTTGGCGAGCGCCATCAGGACCGGGCCGCCGGCGCAGACTATCGACGAGCCGGCCACCAACCATCGGGCAGAAACCTTGTGGACAAACAGGCCAGTGGTGAAGTTGAGGATTATGCCGACGACAAGGCTGGGGAGAAGTCGGGTGGATGTCTCCGTTGCAGACAACCCTTGTACCTCTTGAAAGCTGCCAAAGTCAAGATTAACCGTGGCTGTTCCAGCGCCAGTGGGGCGCTTCTACTTACAACAGACTGCAGTATTGCTCCATTGACTTTAGTACCGCGAAAGACAACAGCATGGTGGCGCAAACGCTCGAGAAGGCTGTATTGCGCCATATGCTGTTTGGTATCAAGGCCGGTTTGCCGAGGCGCGTCTGACGGTGAACCCAAGCGACAAAGGCAGGCAAGGCGAAGCCAGCCGCACACAGCGTTGCAATGCTGTCTCGATGGCTTACACTGCCAATATCGAAACTTACGATGCTTGATGGCCATTCGTTTAGCAGCCTCGACATGTGGCATTCGGAAGAGGATCAACTTACGCCAAGAAGTACGACAAACAGACCATGAACGCGGATGCCAGAAGCGAGCCAACCCAGTCCATTTTCCTCTTCAGTTCGTGGACAACTTCAGATGCCGTCCGCCTGTCCCTTGACTTTGGCAGCGCCCACAGTCCGACGAAGGACAGGAGCAAAGACAGCCCCCCGGTCAGGTAGAAGCCCACGCGCCAACCCACCGTATCTACCAGCACCCCACCAAGCACCAAACCAACCGAGAATCCCAAAGGCTGGCTCAGTCCAAGACATGAAAACGCCACATTTCTGGCCCTGCCCTTCGGGATGGACTGCGTCACGAGGCTCACGGATGATGCCAGGTGCATGGACATGGCGACGCCTTGGAGTGCACGATACGCAACGAGCTGCTCGCCTGACTTGACGAAGCCGCTGGCCAGCAAGAGAAGGGCCATGGAGAAACAGCCGACGAGGTCCACGATGCGACTCCCGGCCGCGTCGGCGAGAGAGCCGACAGGGAGGATTGTCGATCCCACGGCAAGACCGTAGACCGATATAGGCCAGACGTGCAGCTGCTCCGGCAGATTGAGCTCGGCGACAAGTGTAGGCAAACTGACTAGGATAATTCCGTTCACAGCCGAGGACAAGAAGTTGAGGCCTGACAGCTGGAAAGTTGTCGTTGCTTGGCGGGCTTTGGACGCTGTAGGGCCATCACTCTGATTCTGTCTCTCGGTCTCGAGAGGAAATTCGTTGCGAACATCTCGCAAGTCAATTGACTCATGGCTGAGTTGGGTGGTTGTCACGGTCGACATGATGAGGGGTTGAGTTGGACCTTCCGAACAACCAAGACTCTTGGTGGGACCAACTCACTGATATTGGTCAATTTAGGATGACTCAGAGTTGAGCGAGACGACTATCAACGAACTTGTATCTAATCAACAGCCATTTTCCGTGACTCAAGGCTCAATGTCACTCAAGGTTGCCCAGGCCTGTATTCACAAACATCCTCATAACGAAAAACGTAAGCGTCGTAATTGCATAAACTAACATCATGCTGCCGAGCGAGGAAAGATGTTAAATAACGAGCATGCCAGTTGCTGAGACACAAGTCGAGAGACAAGCCGGAAAGTCTCTTTGAAAGTATTGAGACTTTCCTGTGCCATCACACTCCCGCAATTTACCTTGCATCGCGGCGGCGCCCTGTCTCGCCTCACAGCAATCAACATTGATACCATGCCGTGCCAGACAGACAGGTCAGCAGCGCCCCCTCCCCCACGCCACATCCAGCCTCCTGCAAGGTTCCCGCGACTTGTCACATTGCATCACATCACACACACGCACGCACACCACCCATAACCTGCCCGTGTCACAGTATTCCAGATTCTGTATGATTATTATCCGTACCCAGCAGCAGCATCAACTGCCCTTGCTTTTCTCCCCTGTCGCCCTTCAGTCACGCTGTCAAGGGCCCCGGTCACCGAGGCAAACAGCGCCCGGGAAAGCGTCAACCAAAGAATCTGGTCACATTTTCCCCTTGCCGTTCGCCCGTCCGTCAATCAGCCAGACCTCGGGCCAATACTGATGTTACTGTGTGTTTTGGGGCGGGCTGCCAAACTTGCGCGCAAGCCTCTTTGAGACCACAGCCTGCGTCTGATAGGCCAGCCGAAGTTGACCTAACTGCCTGCCAGTCGCATTTACACGGGAATACGTGCAGTTTTCACAAACGCCATTTCCGCAGGACGACCTCCCCTGTTCCCTGACACTTGTACCTGCTATGCAGTGCACTGCGCAATGCCGCACAGCCAAAGTGCCAGAAGCACCTCAAGAGGGGAGAAAAAAACACCTCACCCTGCACAGAAGCTGTCCATGCAGGCAGGTTCCCTTCCCGCATCCTGACCTGCAAACGGATCTTGCTCCGTCTCACTCAGCTTCTAGTTTCCACCACCTACCACAAATCCCGAACTGATAAACACAACAGAGCAGGAACTGTCAATCACGAGCACACGCCCTCTCGGCTCGCTTGCCGCGGGCCAAAAAACGAGAAGTCCTGAGTCGGGTCACGATGACGATTGATGCCCGACCCCAAGAGCCAGAAGGAGGGGTAGAAGGAAGGAAAAAAAATCTATCGAACAGAGACCATCAAAACGGCTTAGTGGCAAAAAATAAAATCAAAAAAAAATCCTCAAGGGTCCAAGTCAGCCCAAAGACGATGCGGAGAAAAATCTGGATTTTGCTTTCCCCCCTCACACTCCCACCCCCTCCTCCCTCGCTTCTCACACACTCCAATACCGTATCCGTACCGAGAACATGTAATTGATAGGTCCAAAGTCCAATAGAGTCCAGACCACCACCACCACCACCCCCACCGCGACTCTCCTCCCATCTGGCATCACTAGCCTCTTTTCCAAGGCGGGAGATCGGCGCAGAAAAACGTCGTCATTCCATTCCTCGAGAGCCACTCGCGCTCCCCCTTTCAAAGAAAGGGTCGTATGCATACGCCGCCTTGTGAGAGGCAGGCCGATTGGGCACGAATGAATCCGCCGATCCCCCTCCTTTGCTTGCTGTAAGTCTGTCTGGCCGTCTCCGCCTCGGGCTGTTTCCTCCAATCTTTCGGCCTGTCAGTCCGCGAGGCAGCAGCAGACAGAAAGCGAGACAGACTGTGTCGTTGGGATGGGAACCGCACCGCCGCCGCCGCCACTCTGACCCCATGTTACGGCCCATGTAGTCACCGATCACCCGCATGAAGCTTACAACGCTATGTATGTAATCAAATAAGCGTAGGGCAGAAAGATCGACGGTGAGGCGCGTGGGATTGGGTGGCTTTTGTCCCTCTCGTCTCTAACCCCCCAACCCAACTGAGTGAATTTCATGTGTGTCAAGGCTTCGGGCTATCTACTTGCTTCTTCTTCTTCTTCTTCTGAAGATGTCACATTGCAATTTGGCTGGCTGTATCATTCATGCAAACCACAACCTCCTTCGCTTCTCATGTTCGATTGTGACAAATCAGGACAAGATACGTACAAGTATATACATGCATTTCGTGATGGCAGATGTGAGGAGCAACATGATGAGTGGGTGCAGCCGGCCCTATCCATCTCTCTCCACTCACACCCAAGGACCATGGTACAGATGATTTGATTCCACGTAAATGAAGCAGCAACAAGCAAGAAACGTAGTCAAACGAGTAACCAACTTTGGTGAGCGCAAACGAAATCGACAATAAACCCCACCCCGCCCTAAAAATGTTGCGCGCGCGCAAAGAGGCGACAACGACGCAAAGCTCGTGAGAGCATTCCGGCCTGATCTACTTACTACCAACCACTTTCCGTAGGTATACATGAAATTCTACAGGAGACATACACACATCTTTTTTTCTGGTTTGTTCTCATCCCTTCGTTTGCGAGTATCCGGCCTCACTTTTCCCTTCTTTTTTTTGCCACCACAGTCGTTCATTCCTCGTCATTCCTCTTTCATCCCGGTACGCCCATCTATGACCGGTTCCCAATATCCGTTTCCTCCCGCCACACCCTGCCACCCCCTTCCCATGATAGAGACAGAGAGAAAAAGTCCAAGCCTGTCACCCGCCTAGCGTTCTTGTTCAACTTCAAGTTCCCCCCTCCTTGAAGGGTAGCATCCACCTGAGCCCCGCGCCTCCTCGAGCCTGAACTAGCCCTTCAGACGATAGCGGCAGGGCTTGTGTGCCCAAAGGCTGCCAAGGGGGGGAACAAGCAGAAGAAGAAAAAGCAAGGAAACGAGAAAAGAAAACAGAGAAAAAGCGAAAAAGCAAAGAAAAATCAAACCCCGAAGAAAATCAAAAACGGATGCCCCGTTCATGATGCTGACATGGATACCTGATACCTGCCCGACCACCTTTTGGAATGCGAGAATGATGAGCAGTTATCCTCCGATGAACTCCAGTTCCACGTGACATCGTGTTGATAAATCGTCCCTTTGTCACAAAGACGTCCGAATGCCGAGAATGTACATTTGGGGGGAAGAAGCAAAGAAATAGTAGAAGGCCGCCCATGGTGTAATAAACAATCCAGAGAGAAGCCATCCACCGAAGCGCCGCCATCCAGAGTACGTTTACAAGCATTTCAACATGCCCCGAGATCCAGTCGTGTTCTTTTTTTCCGGCATGATCCCAGGGGTGGGGGGGGAGAAGCAGCTGGCAAATCCCAAGTCCTCTTATCTGCTCCCGTGGGAGCCGGAGCCTGCCTGGTTTCCGCCGCCGTTTCCGCCAGATTCCTCGTTCGCCTCGTAGAGGTCCAGGCACGCCTCGAGAACTAGAACCCTGCCGTTAGCTTGATTTGCGCGCACATGAAAAAGAGTTTCAAGGTTATGCAAGGCTTACTCTCGATGATCTGCTGTTCCCACACGCCATATTGATAATCAACCAGCCCGTGTCGCTCGATGCCATCGCACAGACGGACCAATTCCTTGCCCATCTTTTCCAAGCCTTCCTTGCTGATCAACGTCTGGGATCGTTGAAGTTGGCGCCCTGGTTCCATCAAATCCTTCTGCATCTGGAACAGCGCGAGCCACGCGTGGTTGAAATCGTTCCAGAGCTTGATTCGGTCTCCATGCAGATTTTGGTCGTCGAGGTTGAGTCCTGTGAAAGTCCCTAGTCTTAGCAATTTTGAACGTGTAGGAAAAGTCGGCATCTGCCGCGAGTGGCTCGCAAAGCTTACCCAGGTCAACAACTTGCGACAGTAGCCAGTTGGAGACGTCGAGGAGCGACTGGCTGGCGCTCTCGAGGATGCCGTTGCGGACGTTTTGGAACACGCCCCGCAAAGCAGACTGGTACTCCATCCACTTCTCTTCCAGACCACCTGTCGCAGAATAATCCTGCTCCTCCATCGAGACGTCGGCACTTGCTGTCGGCTGCGGCATGCCTCCCACATTCGAGATGTTGGTCTGGTAGTTGGCCATCTGCGGCTGTTGATAAGCGGTCGCGGTGGCGCTCGCAGATGGCGCATGAGGGAGGTTGGAGGTTCCTGTGCTGCTGCTCGGGTCATTCTGGAAGTACGACGTCGACACGTCTGTCGGTAAGATCGGTGCAGCTGCAGGCTGCCGTTGAAACTGCGCTTGATTGTCGTAAACAGAGCCCGTCGCGCCAGTCAAGTTGTCGTAGCCCATCGTCATGGCCGCCGCGTTATATCCACCAAAATTCTGCGCTGCCGGGCGGCCATCCTGGCCGTATCCTGAGGGGTAATGCATTGTGTTTGTTGCCATTGGCGTGTTGAAAGATCCTGCTACCGGTTCCTGATAGTTGTACGTGCTGTAGCTACCCGTGCTTCCCATGCCCCGTGCTTGTGAGGGCGATGTGTTGAGCGGCGCCGGCCGGTTGTATCTCTCTGTCGAACCTGTAGCCATTGAGCGGCGCTGCTGCAAAGGATCCTGAATGTTGTATCTTGGGTTGGAGGTGGGATGCATGGGCGCTTCATTCTGCCTCCTACGGCGATTGGGATCATCCATCCCACGAGGGGTTTGGTCGCCGGTCGACTCCGAAGGCAAGCCTACCGTGTGCGCCGGCGGCAACGGAGCTGGCGATGTGTACAGTAGGGCCAGGTTGGGCCTTTGGATCGGTCACGGGACCGTCCAGCGTGGGTGTTGATTCCCTCGGAGTTGGTGGTGGTCGTGGTCGTGGTGGTGGGGGGAGGAGGATGATTTTTTTTTTTCCCTCTTTCTTTTTTTTTCTTTCCAAACGCTTCTGCTGTCGGGGACAAAACGCGACGAGATGACCAGGACGAATGAGTGATATCGTTTGTCGGTCCGGGGAGCTTCCTCGAGGCGTTTGCTCTAAACAAAA